ATGACAAAGACAGAAATGTTCTAATATTAAAATGTATAAATTACAGCACATGATGTACCTTTTATTTCCCAAACATATTTTTATGAAAATTGAATTTTTGTTATGTTTGTAGAAAGAAGACACAAATAGTCCTTTAGAATGTTTGAAACTTGCTTGTGGAAAATTGTTGGTGAAGCATAGAGTTGAATTTCATGAGCAAAATTCAAAATAATAAATTTGTATTTAACTACAATACTTTATCTCTTATGCCACAAAGCTTGAAACAATAAATAACAGGAACTAGTCACATGCATGACAAACTACTGAGACAACAAATTATGTTAACACTTTCGAAATGAATGTTCCTCAAATTCTTGTGCAGAAAATTGTACCAAAAGTATTTGGGTACTTGATGAAATAGTAGGTTCCTGGCACTTTTCTCAGATTTGGGGGATTACTATGTATCCTCATATTTAGACACAAGTATATCTCTTACAACTCATCAAAGAGGCATCTTTTTGCAATACATGGAGACTATTACAGAGTTCCAAAACTTGTCAGATGCGGAGAAGTGTCTGTGAGATGCTTATCGCTAAGTGACATATCTACAGCGAAACCTCTATAACTAGGGCTCATGGAACAGGGTGTAGAGAGAATATTAATACATTTCTCATCTCTCACCAGCGAAGCTTCCTCATGCAACAGAGGGTGATTACTACAGGATGCCACAACTGGCAAAAATGTAGAGGATAAGGGACTACAGAATGGTGTCGCTGGATAGGACTCCTATATTAAACCTCTGCCTCTGAGGGTTCAGGTACCATTGTGGAAGAGGAGTGGGAAGAGTGTAAGAGCCAGGGGTGGTGAATGGCTACCAGCAAACAGAGTTCTCCAGGATGCTAAGAAGTTCCCCATATAAACTTACAGCAATGATGACAGCATGCACAAGACCCATGCCAACTCAATCAGACAAAAACCCAGCATAGAAGTGATGAAATGGGTAAACACCTGAACCTTAGCTGAGGAACTATTGGCAACAGATCACTACTGGGTGAAGGAAGGTTGGTCTCCTTTAAAGGAGTGACACTAGGTAGGTTGACTGGGCTCCTGTGAACGGACTCATACCAAGAGATATTTGGAGATACAATCTTTGCACAATAAGCATAATCATATATGACACAATGCATGAAATTCAGTGATGATGCCATATGAGGCTGCTGATAGGAGAGGGCATCTAAGTGTGATCAAGATGCATTTAATAAAATGTACAAAATTCAGCCGGGCATGGTGGCTCACACATTTAATTCCAGCACTTGGGAAGAAGAGGCCTGGATCTCCTCCATCTGTCTGCTCTTCATCCTTAGGCTGGCAAAAACCGTGGTGTGGGAGTCACCTGTAACAATGACAGAGAGGAGAAAGAGGGCTCATTTTTTTTGGAGACAGGCCCTCATTGTAGCCCCGGTTAGTGTTGACCTCCATATGTCCCCATGTAGCCAAGGATGACCTCAAACTTCTGATTCTCCTGCTTCCACATCCAGAGTGATGGGATTACAGGCTTCCATCACCAAGCCTGGTTTATGCAGCACTGGGGATTGAACCCAGGGTTTTGTGCATGTTAGGCAAGCGTTCCACCAACTGAGCCATATCCTCAGGAAAGTGATAATGTTTTAAAAGCATGAAATATAGTAGAATAAAAAAATAAAATTAAAGCCAGGCATGGTGGCACACATCTTTAGTCCCAGCACTTGGGAAGCAGAACCACGTGAATCTCTATGAGTTTGAGGCCAGCCTGGTCTACATAGGGAGTTCCAGGCCAGCTGGTGCTATAGGGAGACCCTGTCTGAAAAAGACAGTAAAATAAAATAAAAATAGAAATGTTAAAAGCTGAAAATCATTAAAATGTCGTGGGTTTTTCATTATCACATTTTGCCTTTATCTAAACCTTCCGCCAGTTTGTACCACCAAATCAGTCATCAAGAACTGATAATATTATTCAGGATATAAATTATAATTCAGTTAGCCACAGCTTTAGGCACTAGGGACAAAGATAATTTACTCATAAACCATAGACTTTCAGAATATAACTTTGTTATGGAATTATAAATGAAAATACATAATTTCCATTAAAATGAAGCTTTTCATTCTGAGAAAATGTACATTTGGGTTATGGGAGGGTCATACAGAGTTCAGTAACTTATTTTAAGTTGAGATTATATGACCACTACCAACGAGAGAGACGTATTTTATTCATAAAGAAAGGGGAGGAATGAAATGGATTCAAAGGTAGAAAAATGACATTCAGAATATCCTTTGCAGAATACAGGGCACAGGAGTTTGGAGAGTTGGCTCAGCACTTAAGGACATTGGATGCTCTTGCAGTTGATTGGGGTTTGGTTCCCAGCATTTACAGACAAGCTTACTATGTCCCTAATTCCAGTTCCAGGGGATCTGACACACATTTCAGTCGTCCATGGGCATTGCACCCATCGGTGGATTTGCATACATGCATGCAAAACACTCATAAACATAAAAATAAAAATAAATAATTTTTAACGAAAGAAATACTGGCACAAAGATAGTACATGGAGAAGTATGGTGACCAACTTTGTCCATATATATCAGTGGTGATTGGTTAACAAATTATAGTTTGGGAAACATAAATTCAGGAAATCCTTTTATGAGACTGTTACGATAAACTAAATAAAATATAGACGTACTGGAACAGTATAGGGAGACGATATAGATACATCAACCTCTGTTCATCTGATCATTCTTATTGATACCAAGGCATACATTGGGGAAAATTGGTAAGTTATACTACATTCAACAAATACTACATGAAAAACTAGATATCCAAATGCAAAAAAAATATTATTATCTTATGAATACTTTAGCAACACATATACTAAAACCGGAATAATACACAGTATATTAGCATGGTTCTTGTGCAAAGATGGCACTCAAATTGAAAAGTGTTCCATATTTTAAGATTATCCACCATGATCAAGTTGACTTTATCCTAGAGATGTATGCATGGTTCAACATATATAAATCCATAAATTTTATTTATCAAATTAAAAGACTCAAGAACAGAGACCACATGATTATCTTATTAAACATAGAAAAGACCTCAGAGAAAATTGAACATCCCTTCATGATAAAAGTCATAGAGATGCTAGGTTTTGAGGGGGGATATCTCAACCTAATAAAAACAGTATAAAACTAGCCCACAGGCAAGTTTTACTGACAGTAATAAGGGAAGTGAAGGAGATAAACAGGATATAAATCAGAAAGGAAGATGTCAAAGGATCATTATTTCAGGTAATATGATTATATACTTAAAACATCCTAAATATGCTATCAAGGAAAAGAAGATGTCAAAGGATCCCTATTTCAGATATTATATTTATATACTTAAAACACTCTAAGTGTGCCATCAGAGGTATCCTGGAAGTAATGAATATTTTCAGCAAAGTTGCAGGATATAAAATTAACACAAACCAGGGAAATGATCCCATTCACAATAGTCTCTAAAACATAAAATATCTTAGCATAAATCTAACCCAGAAAGGGAAAGATTTGTAAATAATAAAAATTTAAGACATTCAAGAAAAAAATTAAGGAAAACACCAGAAGATAGAAATGTCCCCCATGTTCATGGACTGGTAAGATTAATGTTGTGAAAATGGTCATGCTACCAAAAGTAATCTACAGACTCAACAAAATCCTCATTAAAATTCTAATATAATTCTTCACAAAATATTAAAATATAATCTGAGATTTCATTTAAATATACAAAATACCCAGGATATCAAAACAATCCTGGATAATAGAACATCTGAAGACATCACCATATCTCACATCAAATTTTAATATGGAGCTACTATAATAAAAGTAGCATGGTACTGGCAGATAAACACAAACACTGAACAATGAAATAGAATTGAGTACACATATCTAAGTCTACACACTTAGAGTCACCAGATTTTTGGCAAAGGGGCCAAAAACACACATTGGAGAACAGGCAGCATCTTCATAACATTATGCTGGTCAAATTGAATAATCACGTATACAATAATGAATCTAGATTCCTCTTTTACACTCTGCACAAAACTCGGCTTCAAAAGGATCAATGACCTCAACATAAGACCTGATATCACGAAACTAATAGAGGAGAACGTAGAGAATACAATTCCAGAGACAAGCATGCAGCTATGAGATGGTCTTGAAGCACATCATCTGCCTGAACCTTAGTTTTAGAACACTGTTAGAAAACACATGTCATCCAAGATGAACAGCTGAATGAGCAGAACGTATAAAATGCTGAAGTGATTCCAAAAAGAAAGATAGAGTTATTTTATCACAAAGACCAGAAGAATGATAAGAGAAGACAGAGCAAATATATAATGCTGAGCAATCTTGGCAGGACAAAGATAGTATTGGTCCACTGTGGCAGAACCCCGGTGTGTAAGGCTACACCACTGGAGGTCTGAATAGAGGTAGAGAGAGAGAGAGGGAGGGAGGGAGAGAGAGAGAGAGAGAGAGAGAGAGAGAGAAACAGATCAACAGATGTAGAGCAAGTGAACACCCAGAGTGTCTGGCAAGCTGTGTGAGGGCTGAGGATGTTGATTGGTCTATTAAAAGGATAGAAAAAAGATGGAAAGGAAAGGAAAAGTTTCTACTCTTCTATTCAGTGATGATCTGGGCATCATGGGCTTCTGGGATGTACCAACATATAGATCATTAAGGGGATAGTTACTCCACAATTTCTTAACTTGTCTTGTGTCATGTCATGCTTACTGAAGTTTCTGGAACAGACAGATACCCTAATGAATGTTCCCCTTTGTATGTGATTGACAGACCTATTTGGATTAACTCTTAGAGTAGAGGGCAATAATATGTCTTTGTGATCTTACAATTTGGGGTTTTTTTTTTTTTTTCTTTGACTATCATGACACCATTTAGAACAAGAAGTATGACTTAGATATCATTATTTTGACCCACCTGGAAAGTCATGTAATAGTACAAAATAAAAATAATTAATAAAAATAGTTAAAGAAAATAAAAGAAATTACTATAAGACAGCCATCCTTGGTGCTGGTGAGATGCTCAGTGGTTAAGAGCACTGGCCGCTCTTGCAGAGGACCTAAATTTGGTTCCCAGCCCCTACATGGTGGCTAACAAACATCCATACCTCCAGTTCCAGGTGATTTTCCACCCTGTTCTGGCCTCCATGGGAATTACATGCATGGCTACACTTATATACATGCAGGTAAAACACTCATACACATAAAGTAAAAATAGATAAGTAAACAAAATGATAGCCATCATTTTCCAAGAAGAGAATCTTCACTTAGTGGGCATCTGCAAAGCCCTTTTACCTCAAACTACACATATGCCCCTTCAGCCAAGACTGGAAGATCATCACAGAAGAGGGAGCAGAAAAACTGTAAGAGCCAAATACTATTTCTTCTATAGAGAAATAGTATTTGTCAGACATGGAAGCACATTTGCATTCGTGGACTCATAACAACTTAGACTGCATGCATAAGACCTGCAGAAGATCAATTCAGTCAAGAGGAAATTCTAGCATAGGTGGAGGAGGGAGTCATGAAATCCTCACCTTGGTAGCAATTTGCAATTGATGGCTGCTGAAAGAATGACAGGGATATGAGTCTTGAGAGGCTACCTGTGCTCAAGTAGATAGTTCCTACATCCATGTACATATAAACAGTACTGAATAGACTAACTGGATAGTATTGAAAAATGAGAGCAAGTACATAAAATTGGGAATGAAAAGTGCTGGTGAGGAGGGGAGACTAGAAGAGGAATTAGAGGGGCAGGAATGGGTAGTTGATTTGATCCAAGCACATATACATTACATACACAGCTTGCTCTCTCTCTCTCTCTCGCTCGCTCGCTCACTCACTCACTCGCTCTTGCTCTAGCTCTCACTCTCCCTCTCCCTCTGCTTCCTCTTAATGGTTAAAGATGTGAGGAGTCCTCAGTTCTCTTTTCTGGCTGCCTCCTGCATCTTTCTGACATGCCTGCCTCACAATGGACTCTTTTCCCTTTGGACCTGTAAGCCAAATAAACTCTTCCTGTTACTAGTTGCTGTGGTCATGGTGTTTTATCACAACAACAGAAAAAAGAAGGAAGCAATGAAGAAGTTTGTAACAGAGAGTGGGCTATTGCTGTGTAGAATCTGGTCATGTTGATTAGAGAAAGAATGTTGAAGACTTTGGAAGTTTGGACAATAAACACAGGTGAATGGTATAAGCAGAGATTAATGGATCACTTGATATTCTAGAGGGAGATTGAAAAGAGGATCTAAAAGGCAAAAGTTTTGACTAGAAACCCAGTTTCTGTCTGCCTGAAGTCTAACTTTCTTGAGGCTAAATTAAAAGTTGTGGGAGACAGGTTTGAGCCTAGGGTGAAAGTCTTATTGACAGCCATACAGCAGGCCTGAGGCAACGGCCCGGCCCGACTGCTGGAGCCACAAGGAATGCCTTGTGACATTTTGCTCCCATTGGCAGATCATGAGACTGATGCCTCGAGCTCACCACTCCCTAATCACCACCCTTGGAATCAAGGTATCCTATTTGCTGTACTATGATAGGATGCTAAACCTGTTATGCTAATAGGGTATCCTACTTGCTGTGCTGTGATTGGACCACTATCCCTATATAAGCTTGTGCCTTCCTGCAATAAAGCAGACCTGTGTTACTGAACCTGGTCTCCTGTGTCTGAATGTGGCTCCGCTGACACAGTCTCCTCACCAGCCCTGGGGTCCTGACCAGACAACTGATTGGAGGAACTGCGAGAGCAGGAGAGCAGCCATAGCCAGAGGAGAGCAGTCACAGCCGGTGACCACAAAAAGTTAATGTACTAATTTCTTTGGCAGAAGAAATTTTAAGACAGCCTAATGTTGGATCAATGCTATGGTTATTAATCATGAATTTTATGCAAATCCACAATGACAAAAGAGCCAGTGTGGCAAAAAAGAAATACAGAATGTACATTTGGGAAACAAAAAGGGCACTATGTAACCAAGGGTTGTATTGAAGGAGAGGCTTTCATTAGGGGTTTAGAGCCATTATGGAAAGACCTCCAGATTTGTACTTCAACAGCTGAGAGAGTAGCCTCAAGACAAGACTCTACACAGCTAAGTTTCAAACTCCTGAAAGGCCTAAGGAGTTTTCTGTTTCTTAAAAGTTGCACTGAACAGAAGCTTCTGGTAATTTGATGAAGCTGATTGATGTTCAATCAAACCTGTCAGCCAAACTTAGCAGTGCTCATCACATAGTGCTGGTTTTAGAGGCATGAAAGTTCCAAAGCTGAGGAGGTCATTGGTTCTTCCTCCAAGGTTTCAAAGAACAATGGAATCAAGGCATCATGTAGAAGGTGGGCCCTTGTATAAGAGGTCCTAAGAGGCCATTGTGTGAAGCTGTGTAAGAAACCATGGCTGGCAGTGGAGATTCTAAGGTGTTGGAGATGACATAGTTGTCATATAACTTCCAAGGAGAAATGCATACAGGGAATGGTACCAGTCCAAAACAATGTATGTTGCATGCAGCAAAGTTGGAAGGGTGAGTCATCTAACAGCTGGTTTCTGCTCTTGCTTTTGTCTAGTATTGCACCACTTTGCCCCAATTCCTCATTTTTGGCATTGGACTGTGTATTCTGTGCCATTGTATGTATTATATGTCTTGGAAATATGTAATTTGATTTTTTTTATTTCACCAGGGTTTAGTTAAGTAAGTACTTAGCATCTCAGAAGGGACTCTGGACTTTTAACTTTGGAACAATATTGAGACTCTTAAAGACAGAGAGGACTTTTAAGGTTGGACTAAATGCATTTTCATTATGATATGTCCATGAGCTTATGGAGGCCAAGAAGTGGAATATTGAGCTTTAAATAAATATCCCTCATAAATTTTAATTATTTGAACACTTTGCACCCACTTGGTAGTACTGTTTAGGATTA